TACTGACAGGCATGAGATCAGCAAAACCAGGGTTGAGCCCGCATACTCTCGTAGCGAAGACCAAGATTGCTTACTGCCCTCAGGAAACCCATTCCCGGGGCGCTGAGGCCTTGAAGAAATTGACAACTCGCAACCAACACACCGTAGCATAGCAATTTATCGCAAACGATTGAAGATGGGATTTAGCCGGAGCTGCACCCGATCTCACTCTTCGAGTGTGCGGGCGCAACCAGCACCGACCGCTCGTCACCAGGCGGTCTGTTCTTTTCATTCAACTATACCTACCATTCCCATGCGACCACCTGTACCGCTTCGACCTATTCCATACATCTAATCGATCACCAAAAGAGTCCCTACTTCTGTTGATGATTTACCATTGTAATCCTACTCACACGGCCTACCACACTCTATTCGCGACTAGAGATATTCATCCATATACAAGGAAGAGAGCCTTCCGCTACACTTAATTCGGCAAAATGCTCGAGTAGCTTCCATTTTACCATGGTCAGATAGCAAGGAAACAGGAACGGCGAATATTACCACGCTTCCTGTGTCTGTTCCTCCAAGCAACTGCTGATGTCGATTCCTTGGTACTCCTCGACAGCGCGATGAGGTCCCTCCATCCGACCGGCGATGCAACCATCCGGCGTCAATCGTCAATCAGGGGGTGAAAAGCCTTCGTCCGAGTGGAGGGGACGAGCGTGAAACTTTCACGCCGCCATGGACGTGGCCATGGCTGTCGGCTTCACCTCGGTAACTCGTGTTCCGATAGCGCGAGGACCACTTGACGAGTCGGTGGCCTCTGTGTGAGCGGCCCAACCGACGGCGCAAGGCCACGAGCGCACTACCGGCGTCGTTGGCGGCGCTTCCCATTTGGTACAACTTTTTCACTGCGGTTGCAACTTCATTATACAGACCAGAGGAGTGCCCAGGTTCATACAGGGGTTGCAATTTCATTATACAGACCGGAAAACAAGCCCGGCGTCCCTCACATCAAAAAAGAGTTTCTGGGAGTCCCTGGCCAAGACGACCGACTGCAATGAAAAGCCTACGAAACCCCAACCAAGTACTTGATTTTTGATAATCTCTCATGCTCATGAATTTGTAACCCTAGCTTCCCGCCCCTCTGATACGGTTATCCCGATTGGGGGCTGCAAGGCAGCGTCAGTCATCTGTGGACATCGGTTTTCTCTTGCCCACACCTGGGAAAGGTCGAGTACTTTTGGGTGTGGATGTCCGACAGTGGAGGGGAGTGGGTGTGGCGAGGATGGGAAATCCCCTGGATGAGAGTGCGCCCTTTTGGTGAGGGAACATGGGACTGCCAGGCATGTTTGGCAGGTGTTCTGAGTGTATCCTTTATCATCTCCCCTTTTCCCCACAATCGACCACGTCAGAAACAACACCTTTCCGTGCGTACTTTAGGATGGGCTTTGATTCTATTTGTACCCCACTCTGCCTGCCGAGAACGTAAGCGGGTTGTACATGGGGCAGGGTGATCGGGGGGACTGGGGCTGGCACTCCGGCGAACTTTTGCCCACATCAGCCTTATGTGATTGGTTTGCCGAGAGAGGTTGCTCGTTGAGATTTAGGTAGGATGGTCAGTAATGTTTTCTCGATATTGCTTCATTTGTTCGACGATGTTCAGAATTGTATGGGCGGGGGGTCAATCCTTCTCGTTGGGGAAGTAATCAATGCCTCCCGCCCGTCTGATGAGAATAAAGATAGGGAATGGGTCTCAGTTCAAGATAGTACCCGGTTGACATCATATCAGGGAATAATGCACACAGATGACATAGGCAGTGTTAGCACTGCACACGTATGTTTACACAACTTTCACAAAACCTTTGAGATTTATAGGGACGCTGGACCCGATTTCCAGCAGGTGCCGCTCCCAACCAATAGATGGAGCCTCGCCGACAGTGCTAGTGGTGCCTGCTCTTATCAGCACCCCTGGGCCCTAGCAGCCGCCCGGGAAGTTTCTTCAAAAAAGAAAAATAAAGAAAGCTATCATCCGGCCCTTCTTCCCCCCCCTGCCGAGCCTGTGATAAGCTCAGATCCGTACTGCGCGGCTTTCCGTATCCTTGAGGAAAAATCCTCCGAAAGCCCCGGAGTACGACCTGAATGAGAGGGACTTTTCTTTCGTTTCTGCTTTATTTTTTCTTCTTCTTTCTCTCTTCAGACGACTTTTCACTTTCTTTGGTTAATGATTCCTGCGCGGCTGACTCGCGGCCGAACCAAGAAACGGTTTCGGCCAGGACTTTTCGGGAATTAAAATTTTGCGCGCGCGGCTGGGCTTCGAATTCCGCAAGCGCTTCGCACCCCCTTTTCTTGCTTCGCATCCGCGCGCCATCTCCCTTTCTTGCTGCGCGCGCTTCCCCATGTCGAACCCTTCGTCTCCCCGCACGCAAAGCTCGATCCTTACCCCGTCTTCCTCCGCGAGTGATTGGCCGCGTAGTTGGGATGCTCGGATCAATGTGAAGAGCGGGAAAACGCGCACCACTTGAACGAACACCCGAATCACGTACGGCCATTTCGACTCTGCGAATCGAACCCTCTAACTCCCCACCTTTCTTCTGTCCTGCTCATCTACACCCTGCGCTGCCCGCACCTCGCGCTGACAATCCGCCGCCTCCCGCGCTATAAATTCGCGCAACCCTCTCCTCTCCTCCTCTTTGATCTCGGCTGCAATGGTGCGCGAGCTATGCGCGAAGTCCGCGGCGCCGAACAGGCTCGAGGAGCCCAAGGACGGGCGGAGTGACGACGTGGGGTAGACCCGCGGTAGTCTCGGGGCGAAGCAGTCGGAGGGACTGAGCAGTGGTGGAGATTGGACGCCGACCGCGGCAAGGCCTTGTGGCTATGGTGGTCGGTGGTCTTGGGAAGTTCTGAAAGCTGCGCCTGGGGGCGGCAGTTATCTGAGAATTTTGTATACCAGAAGGACACGCTCTTATCTCCATTGCTGCTTTGTCATACGCATGGGCTATGTCGAAAGTCGATGGATGATTGGATGTCCTGTTGATTGTCATGGTTACACGCACGAGAGCGTATGTGTGTATGTGCTTATCCGGGCGGGGACGGGGAATTGAGTGGGATGACCATCTGCTTGGGAGTATGAGTATGTTGATCCCGTCGTCCCCCCCCCTTCCACGGCCCTTCCTCGCGCACGCACAGTCTCGGTGTGAACTCTCTCTCTCTCTCTCTCTCTCTCTCTCTCTCTCTCTCTCTCTCTCTCTCTCTCT